GACAAAGAGAGAGAGAGAGAGAGAGAAAGAGAGAGAGAGAGAGAGAGAGAGAGAGAAAGAAAGAGAGAAAGGGAGGGGGAGAGCGAGACAGAAGAAGGAAGTGGAAGGGAGGTACTCAATAAATGCGCCGCGATGTTTTATTGAAGCATCCCGTGAAGCACAAATTACCTCAATTTAAACAAACATCTCCTTTCCAGCGAGACCACCTGGACTTGGTTCATATTCTACAATAATACGCAATAATTCAAACACCCGAACATTGAAAGATAAATTGGCTTACAGAAATTATTTTTGCTACTTGTCTTTCTGAAGAATGTGCTGGCGTTTCATGCAGGAGATAACGTCTAGTCTCATTTCCGGTTTGTATCATTTTTGTTCCACCGATTTGGTTTCAACCCCTGGTTGAAAATGTTCACGTTCAATTGGCGGATCCACTTCAAATCTTCATGTAATTACATTATCAATGATCTATTATTATTTGTTGGTTACATTTTCTTCTTTCTGTCTTTCATTTTTGTCTTGTCTTTCCCTCTTCCTTCCGGTTCATGTCCTAGGCTTATACCTTTCAATATAACTGCCCTTGAAGAAGTTTAAGTTCAACCGTCACTTCCACTTTAAATCACTGTTCAAAATTTCGCCCTCTTTTTTCCCTCTTTTTGGCATGTTTTTTTGTGTGGTTTTTTTTGTTCAGATTAACATGCAAAACTCACACCATTCTGTAAAAATGCCTTGTTGGGGAATTATTCTTTGTAAACACAGTAAGCAATTGTGAATTTTAAATGGAAGGCAATTCCGTATCTTTTGGGGAAAGCGCAAAACGAACGTGGCCAGAAACATGCACATGTATTATAGAGAGAAGATCAGCTCTAGCAGACAATCGCGCCGTTCAAACCACAAGCCAAACACTGGGACATGCGCAGGTACGACCTTGTTAGCCATACATTGTATAATTTACCTTACGTTTTCAAACTTCTCATTACAATTCACTAGGAATAGGTGAAGGAAGTCAATTTTTGTTTCGTATTGTTGTCTTGTTCTCTATAATATTATGTACATCAAAGAACAAGCACCACCCCATAAAGAGATGCTAGCATACGCCAGGGACTTGAATTGCCTTACTGCATTTTTTTTAAATTTTAGAATCGGCATCCATCGGAACAAATTAAACCTCGGATTTAAATACAGAAACACGCGCGCGCACACACACACACACACACACACACATACACACACACACACACACACACACACACACACACACATGTCTGGCACCAGCTCTGGCACACATCCCGCCAGACGTTTATCGGGACAAGGCATCGCCCTCGCCACACACAGAGGTGACACACGCACACAATGCACACAACAAGATTGATGGTCCCCCCTGACTGCACTTCGGCTCTTCTTTCTGCTGCAAGATGGCAAGGCCCTCGACCCTATACAACTGAACACTCTACCGGAAACCTTCCCATGAATTGCACACTTGGTTTGTTTATTCAATACAGAGCAAACTTCCTTGCCAACAGTCTAGTTTTGTCTGCTCTGCGCACAAAGCCGGCTAAAAAAGAAATAAAAACTTGCGTTTGACTTGTTTGAACTTCACAGAATAAAAAAAAAAAAGAATTTCCTTCGAACAATGGTTGTTACTGAGTTAAAAATCATTTATCATAATAAAACCTGCTTTTTTCATTTCGAGAAATAACATCGTATACCGTATCACCACGTAAAGTATACAGAACATACCAGAGATCTAAAACCATAAAAACAACTCCATATCCCTGCACTCCCTCCCCCCATAAAGAGCACAAATATTTCCTTTTAAAATGAAAAGCGGCAGGTTCCATTGAGAAGAAGGTCAACAACAATGTGACCACTGTAGAAGGCTTCTCTAACAGTCATGG